TTTTATTTCACTGCAGACAGCGCAGTTTCACCTTCGGATTCTATTGCCAACGCTAATCTCAAAGTCCCTTTTGCAAAAACGTTCCTTATGTGAACACCTCTTTAATAAACTCTCACCCAGTCAGGGGGTGAAGACATCAAAGGCTCTTCGAGCCTGGGATTCTGGAAGGATTACCTTTGAAACACACAGTTCTTTTGGTAAAGATACTAGAAAGAGCTAAATAGTTGTGAGGCTAGTACATGAATTCCTCTCACCTGATTTTGAACCCAGCCTGCCACTGATGGCATGAAGGCTGGCTACATGTGCTTCTAAATTTGTGATCCCAACCAGTTGTCCTGCCTTCAGGAGGAAGGACATGGACCCGCAAATGAAAGAATTCAGCACAGTTCTCATGTGGCAGGTCAGGAGAAATGGCCAGCAAGTGGGCGCTCAGGCCTCTGGAATGACAGAGGGTCACATCCGAGAGACCATCCTATCTTGGGACTTCCTGTGTAACTGCTGACCACATGCTCCCTTGGCTGTAAGTGTTAAGACTTTACAAGAAGCTAAGATAACAAGGAAATAAGGAAGATTTAACTGTCAGAAAACAGGCAGAGCAGTGCTGTTAAAGGGGTTGAGAGCTCATGAAACAGCAAGGCTTAAGAAAAGGAACAGGACGGTTTCTCAGAGCAGGAAAACAATAAACATGGTTTGTTTTCTTCAAAGGAGATAGAAGAAGACAAAAGCAGGAAGCACTGTCCTTCCCTCATCCTGCCAGATTTTCAATGGAGAGTCAAGTGTGTGCATCAATCATGATAAGGGAGGAGAGACTAAAGTGATAACACCTTCAGTTTTTTGAAAGAAAAACACAAAAACGCATCACATAGCACACTGTTCTTCAGTTTGCTCTTTCAAAGAGTGCAGTGCGTGTCACACTAGGAAGCAGCTAGCGTTGAAATAGTACTGTGCACGACACACATGACCTCTCTTTAAACTTCCCGTAGGATTCTTGCTACTTAGCACCCAAGGAAGGCATGTGGGCTGGACAAAGAGTACCATTCCATATTTCTCCAGAACGAAGATTCTGGGTCCACACTACTTCGGTGCTTATAATCCTCAAGAATGCGGTGCTTTGCTGTGGCTACAAAGCATATTCCGCATATTTAGATAATCACAAGTCAAATAGTTTTTAAAGCGTCTAGACTGTTTGCCAGAGAATTCTAGGAGAATGAATACTAACCACAGGCCCGCCAAATTTGGTATAACACTAAAAACAAAACAAAACAAAACAAAACCCCAAAAAGAACAAATAATTTATTTGTACTCATAATCTCACAGTTGCACAATTGATGTAATATGCTCCCTGGTGGGCTTGGCCTATGATGTCACTTTTGGGGACGGAAATCAAATTTCACTAAATTCTATTAAATGAGAATGAACTAATATATACAAGCTGCCTGACTTACCAATTCAGTTTCAAACAAAAAATTTTTTTTTTTTTGGTAATTCAGTATTTTGGATACCAGTATGTATTTTCAAACAATAATAAAAAATCTCTGTTCAAAACAGTGGTTAGTCCCAGGCAAGCCTGAATAAATCTCTTTTACCCGTAATGTATCTAAAATATAGTATTACATTTTTATTGTATTTGATTCTACAGAGGTGGCAAGGTACTAGAATAATTGCAGCTGACATATACTGAGAACTTACAATTGGCTGGAAACTATGCCAAGAGCTTTGCATGGATGATCTCTTCTAATCTTCACAACAATCTTATGGTATAGATGAGGAAACTGAGCCTTAAGAATCATTTTGTGAGCTGCTCTAAACCACAAAGAAACATTGTATGATGGTGAGCTTGCAGAGTTGAACTCCAGAGACAATACTAAGCCTTAAGAAACCCAGGCCTCTGGTTCCCCTTAACAATAAGGGACCATCAATAGGTTACTTAACCAAACTGGACGTGTGTTTCTTCATGTACTAAGTTAGAGTCAGACATACAGATTCTTTGGGCTCCCTTTACTCTGAAAATTCTATTGTTACATTTATTAACTTCCAGATGTAGTTGTGTTTGATTGAGAATACATTCAGAGTTTCAAACTGGGGTAAGGTCAGCATCCCTCTCCCCCTTACCTGGGGCAGGCAGAAAGCTTCTAGGAAGAAGAAATTAGCTGTGGAATTAGGAATTCTAGAAGACATAGATAGGAAAGGGGTATAAGAAACTATTAGAGGAGAAACTAGGGTCTCATGAGAGTTTGAGTTCTTAGAGGGAGCTCTGTCACTAGGTTCTTTTGCTGGCTGGAATGTTTCTCTTTCTATGCAGGGTTTTACTCATTCCAGGACCATAGTTGAGGAGAATACCCAGTCAAAACTTCTTTCCTTGTTCTTATCCCTGAAACAGGTACATAGTCCCAGCAAAGCTTCCTAAAAGTTGTATCTCCAGCAACCAAAGAATTGGACAAGAAGTGAAAGGGCTTCCTGTTATATATACACGCTGCCTCTTTCTAATTATTTCTTCTCACTGTGGCTCTTGGAGAGAAAGACCAAAGTCTTTACGTAAGTAAGGGATTGAAAGAAAAATCCATCTGCATTTTAGAAAAAAAAAAATATTCGGACTCCAAGTTTTCTGCAGCATTTCTTTTTAGGAAGAATAAGAAGCTTCAGTGAGGAAGTGAGACTGAAATTCATGATTCTGCCTTCCAAAATGGCTGGGAATGGAGGAGTCAAGTGGAGGAAAAGAGGTGGGGAATATAGTCTTTATGGCTTATACCACCTAATCTTCTTCCCTTCCCTGTTTTACTGCAGATCTACCTAGAGTATTCAATAGGGCAAGGGGAAAAATGGACAAGATGATGTGAAAGAGAAGGAAGGACCAGAAATGTGGAGAGAAGGGGGTCCTTTGGTCAGTACTAAGGAGCATTAATATATGAGAGAGGCGATTCAGGAAGGCTGTATATTCAAACGTGAATATAAACATAGATAACAGAATATCAGGCTTAGAGTAGATATCTTAGAGCTTATCTAGTCTTACCATGTTACCAATGGGAGAATTTTTTCTAGAGCATCTCTGACAAATGGTAAGGCAGTCTCTGTTTCAATATTCTAAGTTGCCTATTTTCTTCTTGGACAGCTCCAACAGTTAGAAACTACTGTAACTTGTAATATTATCACTTCCAAATATTTGTTTTGGTACCAGCTCAAGGAGGGGCGGGAAATGAGTCTTAATTATTTTTGCATCCCCAGAACCTCCAACTTAGTGCAGAGCATGTACTTAGTAAATTGATCGTCTAATATGTAAGTATATTAATGGATATAAACTACCTGGAGAAACATTAATCCATACAATTAACTCTTTACCTATTTTATAGCAATCAAAATATGCCCTAAATTTTCCTTTTTGCAGGCTAACTATAGTCAGTTTTCTCAACTAACCTTCACTGGTTCTGATGATGTAACTCTGGGAACCTATCATATTACCTATATGTACCTTTGTCATTTCTTATATAGATTCAAAAGAAATTAAAAAAAGGGGGTAATTAAAAGTCCTTTTATCACATCTATTCCTTTTTATTATTAGTCATAAAAGTCCTTAGAATTTTCTATAGTCTTCTTAAATACATACATCAATAATAAAATAATAAGTGTTCACTATTTTAAAAATGAGAAAATTAAAATCTCTCATAATCCCAACATTCTGGGTGCATTTCCTGCCATTTGGGGGGGCGGTTCTTTTGAAGATATTTTAATGTGATTTGATCATGCTATAGATATCATTAAAAAATTTTTTTTAATGTTTATTTTTGAGAGAGGCAGAACATGAGCAGGGGAGGGGCAGAGAGAGAGGGAGACACAGAATCCGAAGCAGGGTCCAGGCTCTAAGCTGTCAGCACAGAGCCCGACGTGGGGCTCGAACTCACATATTGTGAGATCGTAAGCTGAGCCGAAGTCAGATGCTTAACCGACTGAGCCACCCAGGCACCCCAATTTTTTTTAATGACTATATATATCATCTATACCTACTTTTTAACTTAATGCACTATGAGCATTTTCTCATGTTATTATCAGCTCTCCACAGAGACCATTTTAAGTATTATATTTCACTGAAGAGCTACCTAGTTATTTATCTAACTAATACCTCTGGTTGTACAGCACCCAAAATATCACTACAATAAACAGGGCTTTAGAAAACAAATCCATGTACATGAATTTTTTCCACATCTTTCTTTGATGATCAGTTTAGGACAGATTACTAGAAGTGCAGTTAGTAGGTCAAAGGATATACATTTTTAACAAGACTTTTGAAATTCTCTTCCTCAGGATACATTTCCCAGCCCTCAAGACTAGATTCCCGGGGCGCCTGGGTGGCTCAGTCCGTTAAGCGGCCGACTTCGGCTCAGGTCATGATCTCGCGGTCCGTGAGTTCGAGCCCCGCGTCGGGCTCTGTGCTGACAGCTCAGAGCCTGGAGCCTGTTTCGGATTCTGTGTCTCCCTCTCTCTGACCCTCCCCTGTTCATGCTCTGTCTCTCCCTGTCTCAAAAATAAATAAAACGTTAAAAAAAAAAATTAAAAAAAAAAAAGACTAGATTCCCTTGTACCTGTTACTACAGGACCTTGCAATTCTTTTTCATAACCATCATCATTTTGAATACTTGGTTATATTTCTTTCCTTTTAGACTGCAAACTGCATTAAGGTAGGGCATGACCATTTTTGCTGACTGCATTTTGCATAAAGCAAACATAGAGCACGCAAAGGGTATTTTATTTTGTTGAATAATGTTAAATTGCTTCCTTAAAAGGGTGTTTGAATTGGTACCCCGGAAGCACTGTTGGCATTTATCCAACTCACCGCATTAACATCATAAAGCTATGATACCCCCAAATGGGACAAAATACTTAGTGTGATTCAATTTTTGTTACAGATGAAACCTGTGACTTAGAACTCATCTCTCAGCTATTATGAATTCACTGGGTATAGTAAACTCTGCACCGAAGATTCAGTGAGACTGTGACCTGAACATTACCAGCTCTCGGGGAAGGAAAGCTCCTTCTTGACGGGCGATGACCAGCGATGCTGTTTCTCCCTGCTTGGTGCTCCTCAGCATGGCCACGAGCTCTTCTTGAGTTCGTCCAGTGACATCTCTGCCATTTACCTAACGGATGCCATCATATGAACAGATCACAACACTTTTCGTCTCCTTCTACCCTAGATGGTTTCCACAGGTAAGTAGCAAATGGGCTCCTACAATTAATAAAGCTTGGAACAGATGAAACTGAACACATGAGCCCAAACCAACTATGCTCAAAGTACCAATACCGCACTGACCATCATGACTGAGGTGCCAGATCCCTTTGTTTCTATATATTTAAACATTTTTTTAAAATTTTTTTTAACGTTTTTTATTTATTTTTGAGACAGAGAGAGAGAGCATGAACGGGGGAGGGGCAGAGAGAGAGGGAGACACAGAATCGGAAGCAGGCTCCAGGCTCTGAGCCATCAGCCCAGAGCCCGACGCGGGGCTCGAACTCATGGACCGTGAGATCGTGACCTGAGCTGAAGTCGGCCGCTTAACCGACTGAGCCACCCAGGCGCCCCATATTTAAACATTTTTTAACGTTTTATTTATTTTTGAGAGAGGCAGAGAGGCAGAGCGTGAGTGGGAAAGGGGAAGAGAGAGAGGAAGACACACAGTCTGAAGCCGTCTCCAGGCTCTGAGCTGTCAGCACAGAGCCTGACATGGGACTCAAACTCACAAACATTGAGATCATGACCTGAGCCAAAGTCAGATGCTTAACTGACTGAGCCACCCAGGCGCCCCAGTGCTAGATCCCTTTAGATAGTAATTAATAGTTTCTCATGGGATGTTACATTCTTAGGAAGGGAAAATCAAAGTGAGAGCGGAGAATGATTCCTACAACGGGAAAGAAGTAGATTTCAGATGCTTAACTGGCACCATTTTCTGCCTAACGCTAAAAAGCAAACAATGGACCACAATCACACAGCAAATTTCTTTGGAAGTAAAAGTCTTTTGTTACAATTAGTGTTCTCCATCTTTGAAAATTATAGTCTCCGGGTCATCATAGATTATTGGAAATTATAAATTGGAGCTGGATTAATTACTTGGTGCATCTTCTTTCATAACTAGAACTATATACAAATGTATAGTGTTGCTTCTATGCCATGAGAATGTTAAATAAAACCGGCCAGTTTCAATGAGGATGGTTTCTTGAAAGGCAAGTTAACAATATATATCTTGCTAAGAAGATGATGCTATCACACAAAAATACATGGGAGGGGGGGATTCTCTTGCTTTGGGGGTGTTTCAAATACCTCTTTATAAGCCTAGATCAACCTGAGGCAGGCTGGCCTACGCCTGTGGGAAGTTTAAAGAAACTGTTGCCAGAATATGGCTATAACTCTGAGACTTCTTAGCCATAATTGCATATATGATGAATTCCTGGATGATTCAAATTCCCAGGAACCCTAAGAGGTAGATATGAGAAGGAGGAAATAGGGAAGAGTTCTCTGTGTTACTTGTCCTTACATAACTGACTCTATGGGGACTTAAAGTCAGTTTTTTTAACATAATTAAAGTCCTTATCTTGTCTACAAGTGATAATTTTCAATTTTTATATTCAAAATATAAATATTAATGTATTTATGCAAACACCCAGGATACTTTACTGAAGATATTAGTTCCAATTCTTACCTCCAAAATTCTGTCCCCTGATTGCAGGCGGCCATCTTTTATCGCTGCTCCCTTTGGTAAAATGTTTTTTACAAAAATGGGACCAGGCCCATGTATGGAAGAGTCTCTGGTAACAACAGTGAAACCCAGTCCTTCAGGGCCTAGTGTGTAAGACCAGGAAAATGCACGGTCACCTTAAGTAGAAACCTTAACAGCGAAATCTACCTAATTTAGACTAATGTCAAGTAAGTAAATATTTACATTCCAGGAAATATTTTAAACACACTTCAGTTGTTCTGGCTGCAAACACAGATTATAGTTCCTGACAGGCCATGATGGTTTCAAAGTGAATTTAGGGCCCAATGCAGATGTGTAACACTTTCGTTTATTGAGGTACCAGAAGAAATACCACATGTTATCCATAAACCCAGGAGATTGATTTCTCAGTAAACCATAAGAAGCCAAAGGCCATCTGACATGAGTTTCGTCAGGCACTCACTCAGCTAGCCTCCCTGCAGCTCCCTGCACCTGGGTCTCGATTCCTTGAATGCTGCGTCCCATTGTCCCCTCCCTCACTCTTGCATCTCCAATCTCTCTCTTCCAGTATGTGGTTTTCACTTTATCCGAAGGTATGCTCAAACATCTGTACCCTAAAGAATGCTTACTTCAATCTTACTTCTTCTTCAGCCTTCCGTCACCAATGACCTGTCCATGACCACATCCACTACTTTTTCCTATTCTGATCTGTCCCTTTCTCTAGCTTTGACACTTCTCCTCAGTTGTTTTCTTGAAATTAATGCCCCCCTCTGTGGTTTTCATACCTTTATTTTCTGATTATTTTCCTACCTCTCTGATCACATTATGTCTGTCACTCTCTCTTACCCACGGTTTTCCCACATGAAGATAGATGTTTCCCAAGGCTCTTACCTGGTACAGTTTGTTTTCTAGATTCTCTGCCTTGGCCAGCTCCTGCTCCAATTACCATCTCCCTATAGATGACACCTAAATCTCTTTGGCCCTAATTTCTCTGGTGTCAGCTTCTTACATATGACCATGCACATATTTCCACCAGTATTTCAAACTTCACTATGACCTCCTTTCTCTAATTCACATCCTGGGCTTCTCACATACACTCATCTTCTAAAAACTCTAATTTCTAGTAATGGCATCACCATTGAACAAGCCACCTGCAATTCTCTCTCTGTCCCTTCTCCTACATCCAGTCACCAGACAAGGCATGCATGTTATATTTAGACAGATGCAATGTATCCTTTATTGATACTTCACTGTTTGATCTCATCTTCGGCATATTATTCTGCCGAATAATATTAATATTAATAACAATATTAATTCAGATTAATCTTCCCTAAGTACAGCTGTGATGTCATAGTCTTTCTTTTTGCATTTAAGGCTTTCGGATGGAGTCTTAAGTTATGTTCTGCGTCTGATTTATCTGTCCTCAAAGCACTCAATCCCATGTCTTAGACATAGCTGGATAATTTGTACAAAAAAAACCCCAAAAACAATGCATTTATATAAAAAGCCTAATTGCTAAGCACACTAGAGAATTTGTACTTCCTAGTCCATACAGTTTCTTCTCAGTACAGAATTCTTAAGGGGGGCAAAATTCTGACCAGAGGATCTCTCAGAATAACCACCATATCCTAATTAAAGGCATATGTTATTTTCTTTCGATATACGTTAATGAGTATTTTAAAACTACCTTGTGATCATTAAATTCTGTATTAATTCAGACAAAACTTTGAGATTTTGGTTTCTTTTGAACTGAGTCTTGAGAATCACATCAGATTGCAGAAGGCCGCAGAGGGGGAAGGGATTATCAGGAGGTTACAAAATAAACAAAAGCACAGAAGCGCATGAATGCTTATGTGTGTATATGTGTATAATACTGCATAAATATGCATGTATATGAATGCCCTAGTCTCATTGATCTGGGCTTGAAATGCATAGAAAAGTTGGAAAAGATGAAGGTAAGGTTATACATGCTTTTGAAATTAAGTATGTTTTGAGAAACTGTTTGCAATGTTGAATTAGCGAAATTTCACTTACATAGTTATATATAATAATTATCCATTATAATGATCACATACTTGCTTTTTGAGAACTAAATGTTTAGCTGGTATAAAACTATCTTAGAGAACCAGAAATAATATATGCGCTTTTTAGACTCCATCTACAAGGTGCTACAAAAATCACTCATCTTGCTGCAAAAAGGGTTCCACCGAATTTCAGTGCTTCTTTAGTGTTACGTTTTTCTCAGGTTTGCGATGGTTCTTTCCATTTGCCAACCTGTCTTTATCATTTTTGCTTTTGTTTCAAATACGCTATACTCTCCAGAAGGAAAGAATAAGAAAGTAGTACAATTTCAAGAAACTTAGGTAACTTACTTAAATCTATTCTTCGATACAATTAAATGAAGGGAGAATGAACAAAATTAGCCTTAATGCATTTCTCTTAACCAATTTTACATGTTACAATAATAGAATGCTATTAAGCATCATGTAATAATTACCTTTCTTTAGGTCAATCTTAATTTTCTTTGCATTTTTCTTGCTGCCAAACCCCATGAGAGGGGAGAGTGAGGGAGAGGATGGCTTTCTACCCAGTCTTGGGACTCGGGGGCTCTTGTTTTGTTGCAGGGAAGTCGATGCATCCTCTTCAGGACGCCCTGTTCCTGTTCCTGTTTTTATTCCTGATATTCCATGGACAGGAGGAGGCAGCTTTGTTCTCAAAATGCCATCATTGTCACCAAAAATGTTAAGCGGTCCAATGACTGATTTTTCATACTGGTCACGGTTTTGAGGTGGAAGCACATTGAGGAGGACGCTTGGGGACTTCATTGCCTGGCGGAAGACATCTTGAGCCCTTCAAAGAGAGGGAGTAAATATGTCATGACACCACGCTCTAGCGTGGCCCCTAATGCACCCCAAACCACGGCAACAGGAGAGCACAGTAGCACAGGGACAAGGAGAAACTGTCACTATTACTACCAGGATGGCTGCAAACTAAGTACTAGTTACCACTTAGGACTTGACCACGAGGTACCCAGACACTGGGCTGGCGACACTTGGGTCACTAACATGGACAATTCTCTCATTTGATCTTTTTAACAACTTTCTTAATCTTCTCATTTCCTCTTCGGTAAGTATAATTCACTCTTATTTTGCAAAATGAGGAAAATGAGGCTCAGAGAGATCAAATAACCCGTCCAAGGACCCACAACTTTTGAGTATTTCTGAATCTGAAAATCCGCCCAGAGGCAATTACTAATGTAGATATAAAAGCAAACTTTAATTTTAGATGAAAAAAATTATTTTGTATTACTGACCAGATTATCAGTTCGTTTCCTTTTAGGGCTTTATTCGAAAGTACAGGTCTTCCCTGAGATGGGTTGTGTTCCAGAATTTCAATTCTGACACAAACATTTCCTCCTGGAGATATTGATGATACTGGTTGTACCAAATGTCATAGCGAATTATCAATCTAATACGCACCCTCCCTGCTATGCTCTTATAGAGTGCCTGTATTTTTTTACTTTTTTGTCTTAGTACTGGGTGTTTTGCCTCAAATTTCCTACTACCTTTCGTCTCCTTCATCCTTCTGCCTCCTTGTGCCCCCTGACTACCTTGCCCAGCCTGTCTTGCCAACATGATCTACCCAAAAGGGTTACAGGAAAGCTGGGAGCCAGAAAATTCTTTCTTCTCCTCTTTCTCGAAACTCAGAAGTGATGGGGGAACCCCAGCAGCCCTCTGGTGACCACGACACAACTTAAAGAGAGCAGCCACTTAGTAAGGATGACAAAGCAGAAAGATGGAAAATGCCTCTCTTGCTGATGCTTGAGGAACTGCCCTACCACCTCTGGACCGCCGCCTCTGCACTTGGTTGTCTTTAGCAAAAAAAATTAATCATCTTGTTTAAGCTACCTTTATTTTAGGTCTGTGTCACTAACAGCCATACCAAATAATAATTAATCATAATTCCAACTGCCATGTGAGCGCCCCTCCCCCACCCACCAACCTCCACTTCAACCTTACTTCTCCCTGTTGGTGGGGGAGGGGGAGAAGATCTCACAGAGGCAGCCCAACTCCTCTGGTTAGTTCCTTGACTGGGAGTCAGTTTCTACTCCATACTACCTTCATACTGAATTTTCATGAGCCTCCGTTTCCACATTGCATACCTATCAAGTTCTTGTAAAAAGTAGAATGGTATTATTATTTTAAGAAATAGGCGTTTCGGTCTTTCTTCTTTTTTTTTTTTTTCGAGAATAAGATTTGTTTACTTATTTATTTGTTTGAGAGAGGGTGCGAGTGAGTGAGGGGCAGAGAGAGAAGGAAACAGAGAGATTCCCACGAGGGGCAGAAAGAGAGAGAGAGAATCCCATGCTAATAGCATGGAGCCCAAAGTGGGCGGGGCCTGAACTCACCTGAAGTGAGATCATGACCGGAGCTGAAGTCAGATGCTTAACCGACTGAGACACCCAGGCTCCCCACACTCTTTATTTCTTTCCACACTTAAGCAACCAGTGGCCACAGGCCCTCCTACCCACAACCACTTATACCGCCTACCCCCAACTCCTGGTGCCATCAAACATACAAAGACTGACAGAGAATGGTACAGAGAATGTAGACAATGAGTTGTTTTGGTCAGAAACAAGAGAAGCTGGTGGTCATTACTAAGGAATATTAATTAGTATTTGTTCCCTTGTTCCGGAACCCCACTGCAATGCCAACATACGTTTAAAAAAATTGGCATCAGCACTGCATACTCTAATTCTTGGCTATGAGAACCTATTCCCATAACATTTTCACATGCAGAAAAATGACTTCTTGGGGGAGAATATTTTATTTTATTTTTTTCATTTGCTTCTATTACTGAGTCCTCACTGAAATCTCCCACAGATGTTTAGGTTTAAGGAAGACTGCAGACACAAAGCTGGTTAATTAATAAGCTGAACTAACAGTCTGTGAAAAGAATCATTAAATACCAGTTTAACTGACCCATATCCCAAGCAAAACAAACCCATCTATCGATGATCCAGACATCCAGGCGGGAAGGCTTGGGGTATTCCGCAGTTTACTATTCCTGTGGCTGACAGGGACATGTGCAGGCTGCCTTCAAGGAAGCTCACACATAAGATGCATTTGAAAATGGATGTCCTGGGGTCATTCAAAGGCGACTGACCAGACATTCTACCTACTACCTACAGTTCTGATCACTAAGAGCTCAGTGATGATTTTAAGTACTCCAGGGATCAACACAGTAAATAAAACAATGGAAAAAAAAATGCTTACTGAGCAAAGGTTTTGTCTACGAGGTCCACGTGGTTGATTTTTACAATACATTCATTTTCATGAAATAGTCCCTCCCGCTTGGACCTGCTATTTTCTTCAATGCCGCGGATGAAGAGTCCTAGAATCCTAAACGCAAAATTGAGGTTGAAATAGAATTACTGAGTAATAATATGCTAATTATTTCTCCGCTTGCAACTATTCAGAAGTATCGATTTCTCTTTGTGAAAGAAATTACGCTTTATATTCAGGCAACCGTTTGTCACTTAAATCCTTAGTTAAAAAAAAAAAAATCCACTGAAAAGAGAAAGCCCTTCAAGACAGATGCACATCAACAGTGACCCGGAGTACAATGGTCCACCACTCCATTGCCATGTTTGCGGTATTCTTAGAAAAGACCCCTACAGCTCAGTGGAGTTGAGGATACCGAGGCCTCTGGCTTGGAGAAGGCTGACTGTAATGGGTTAGTGCTGAGACAACCTGAGGCGTAATAGTGGGAGAGGATTAGGCATTCACCGCACTTTTGCGCAGCCTTACTACCTGTTCCAGTAATTTGCATTTTAAGAAGAAAGCAGACACCTAAGCACAGGTCATCGTGCTCAGTTTAAAAGGCGGTTCAGTCCCATTTGTTAGTGCCCCTGAATCAAGTACGTGTGGAGCATTTCCCATGCTCAGGATGGAGGAATAGGAGACACGGCTACAGGACCAGGACAATGAGTCAGTATGAGCGTGGCATGCAGTAGAAATTAAAACCAAAAACCAAAAACCTACAGACATCCAGAAGTCCAGTCTTCATAGGAGGATCTGGGGGGAGAATGGGATGTAAACTGGTTCAGAAGAATGAGTAGGATTTAGATAGGGGGAGAAAGGGATACACCTGGTGGCAGGATGAAGGCTGTGTGTTTATGTGGGGAGCCAACACTGGATGGGGAGGCCAGAGCCACACAGAGGGGCCTCGGACACTAGTTGATGGACTCAATCGAATGAGGCTGGAAATAGCAGTACAATCCCCGCTCACTGCTTCTGAGGGAGATGGTGACATGATGGGGCAGGGCTTTGGGAAGACTTGTCTGAAATTTCAACCAGTAAGCGTTGGGATTCAGAGAAGAGAGCCGGAGGCTAATGGTGCTTTGTGGCTGTGGCTCAGAGTCAGGAGGGAAGGGGTTGAAAAAAATGTCAATTACAGGAGAATGAAAACGATAGCAGTCAAGAATTAGATTGTGTGTGTGTATATGTGACTCTTACATTTTCGTAGTATCTAAACCCAAAACTAAGACATCAAACTTGTGTATGTTTCAGCTATTTCTCATGCGACCTAGCTTCCTCCTGGGGCATGTCAGGGTCCTAGCTGTGTTTCCAGAATAAGATAGAGAGATACGTTTTCCAAGAGGAATCTGCTGGGCATGGAGAAACAGCCATCTCCTTGTCCCTCATCTCTTGTCTTTCTGCTTAATCTTTCTTTCTTTCTTTCTTTCTTTCTTTCTTTCTTTCTTTCTTTCTTTCTTTCTTTCTTTCTTTCTTTTTGTATACAGGCCTTGTATGTTATCACACAGCCCCTTTGTATTAAATCTCAGATCTGAATAAAATATGAGAACATTTTGTACGTGGATAACAGGGGCATCCATGGAGGAAGGGCAATCTCTAATGAAAGTGGAGGAGAAAATCATCTTCCCGTTTAGAGCAGCCTCACAGTGAGCCCTTTGCCCCCAGGACCCAGTTCATTTAATGAGCTCGTGTCATCTGAAGATGGCAAGGGGTGGCACATGCGGTGGTATTTAGGTTTCTACTCCAGTGGATGCAGGAGACAGTCACGCCACCTATAGTAGGGAAGGCTCAGGGTCATGGGCACAAGTGTACAGGGGGTGTTTTATACACTGCATTCCTGGTTCTATGTTAGTAAATTCACAATATTCTGTGTGGAAGAAGAAGGGGCCAAAGCTACTATTTGATAAAGGATCTGAGATTCAAATTAATATTTTTAAGAAACTAATCCTACCTTAATCTCATAACATAATATTAAAAAATGACCTAGTCGACATGCAAAAGAAGAAGAAGAAGAAATAGAACAAAATAGTGTTTCTTCCTAAATGAAACAACTCTGTAATAGTTCACATTTTGGATTTTTGTTTTGGTGGATTCACAATAACATGATCCATTAGGAGGCTCACATGTGGTTATAAACTCGTTTATGTAAGCGATATTTTTTTAACAAGCATTCAAGTCTTCCTTTAATTTAATTCAGTACATCATCAGTCATGTAATGTTACTCCCTAGGATTTAATTTCACATTTTGGGAGATGAATTAATTCTTTCAGGCCACTGGGTTGCAATTTAGCTGGCATATTACAGCTGGAGTATGCGATGTGAACCTCGCTGATCCAAATAACCTAACTTTCCATGAAAAATTTATTGACAGGATAAGCTCAACTGTAAAACCCATGTGTCAGAGGTAATTTTGGTAAAATGTAAAACTGACTGATTTTATTAGTTTGGTTCCTGGCAACAAACCACTCCTGCCTTCTCTTTTCCACAGAAGGGATGGATTCCCTCCAGTTTGATTTCATCCAGACCAGTATGAGAAGGCTAAGAAAAGAAATCTCTCACTATTCTTTTAATTTTTTTTTTCAACGTTTATTTATTTTGGGGACAGAGAGAGACAGAGCATGAACGGGGAAGGGGCAGAGAGAGAGGGAGACACAGAATCGGAAACAGGCTCCAGGCTCTGAGCCATCAGCCCAGAGCCCGACGCGGGGCTCGAACTCACGGACCGCGAGATCGTGACCTGGCTGAAGTCGGACGCTTAACCGACTGCGCCACCCAGGCGCCCCTCTCACTATTCTTTTGACCCAAAGTTGCGGGCTGTGGTCTTCGTGTCCTCTGGGACCAAGGCTCTGGGGGACTTAAAGACCAATGCTGGGGAGGAGCTACTTAATTTGCATTCGTGAGCAGTGATAAAGGAGGCTGAAATCCACTGCCCCACAGAACAAGAGGGGGGGACAATTGCTTCTTTTTCTTCTAATCATCGTTTAGAAGCTAACCCACCCCACACTCCTTGACCTCTTCCGCTTTTCTCACCGTATCACGGGCCTTGGCCACTCTACGAGCTTTGCAATTTTATCCAAATGTGTCCTATCCTTGCATTATGTGTTGATCCTCACCCACCCGTTCCTTCTTCTCTGTCGTATTTAGCTGTCTTTACTAGGAAACTAAGGTATACTATGCTACCTTTACTGGAAAACAATTAGATTTCATGCTTTTAATTCTAAAACAAAACTACATTATTTTTTCTCTTAAGCCAATGAAATGAAAGTGCTTTTTACTTTGCAAGAACTCAGTTTTGTGTATATTTGTTTTGTTTCTTACTGTGCAAGCCAAGGGGCCTCCATACAAGTGGCATTCAACACCCTAAGCTATGGTACTTAATGAATCCATTGAGGCCTTATCTAGTACAGCCACCATTGTATTGCACTCAGGGTTTCCTATTCAACAACAGGTATGGCAGTGTTTTTCTAAAAGAAAAACTATATATATATATATATATATATATATATATATATATATATATATGGAGAAATTGGAAGCAGAGTCAATTACAGTAGTCTTAGTAAATAATTAAATGTAAATTCTAATTTAAAATAATGACACAAGCCAATAAAAGGAAGGAAATTAAGCACTAAGTATACCACTATGACCTTAACTCACCCACCCCCCCCAGCCCCCGTGCTCACACACTGAAACCATATGGCATTATGAAGTCAGACACTTGTGTGACACGCTCTGTACTCAGTTGCATCTAAACACATGGGTTGAGTTAAGTGTGCTGTTTCAGCCTGTACTCATTACCTCTTAACTTTTATTGGCTCATGTCTCCACTTCCATATTATTTTTTATGTTTTTTAATTAAATTTCCTTTCTATAATACTAATGGATAGCAAAAAAAAAAATATACAACTATTTCACCAAGTTACTAAACAGTTGACCATGAACTTATAAAAGTTCACTTGTGAACCAGGCTTTTTCGTTTTAGCCATAATATTAATAATACTGATAATTTATACATTCATATGTTGTGTGTTTTACAAGGAGTTTTCATATTTTTAATGTCATTTAATCCTCATAACCTTTATGTGAAGTAGGTATTCACAAGAGGCAAGCTTAGAGGACTTGCTCAAAGTTATGAAAGAGAGAACACTGAGATTCAAATCCAATTGTTCTGAAACCAAGTGTAACACTCTTTCTATTCTTCAGGGCTTATGCTAGAAATCAGAACCAGGAAGGAGAAGGGAAGAAATCAATACATTTTAGTGTGTTTTCTCATTTGATGTAAAAGATGGTGATTTCTGGTCTATAGGGTCAACCTGTTTTCCGAACTATTGAAAATGACGTATGATGACTGTCACATTGTACATTTCTTCATGTTTTGGAAATTGGGATGATCTTGTGTTCTATTCCAGCTTCATTAAGCTAAAGGGCCTGGTAATTGAACCACTCTGGCATTTCACAAAGCTCTATCAGTATACTTCTGCCAAAAGCCATTAGAATTTCTCATGACAACTGGATAAATACTCTTCCTGTCTATCAAAAACAACCTCAGCTTGTCCTGTGCCATAACCCATAACATTTATAAACACACTTATTAACACATACAGGAAATGAAACAATAAGAGCCACTAGCTTTTCAGTTCATTTCTTTTTAGAGAACATTCATTCCAGCAAGAGCTTGGCATCAGATGTTATTTGCAAAAAAAGGTGATGACTTTGCAATTACAGGTAGCAGATGGCTACCTGCTGAAAATGATGCCAACCAAAATATCATGACTAAATCTGCTTTTCCTGCTATGTGGCAGACTGAACTGAATAAATATTCAGAATCAGTAAATGAATACTATATAACCTTTGGGAAAATTTTTGCTCTAGAAAGAGCAATGGAGTGAGGGGGTAGGGATCTGGATTTTGTGTGACTTTGAAAAAATTCAACTGACTTTTCTGGACTTTGCTTTGCTACGCTAAAATAAGACATTCTGCCTTTTCAGTGAAGCATTTAATATAAGAAAAGTTAATTTAGCAAATTAATTAAAATCATATCATGAGTGAGAAACTGATTTTCTTTTAAGAAAAGCCCTTTCTTTTAACATAGCCCTTGTCAATATCAATCTGTGCTAAAGGCAGTCATCTTATTGAACAATGACATAATATCTGATACTAGCTTTGTAAAGTTGTTAAAAGAATAGTAATATCAACTCTCAGACACATACTTTCATTTCCATCAGTAAAACAAGTTTTATATTCAGTTAGGTGGACATGAATTTCAAGAAATGCTGACATCTAAATTCTCATTTGCCACTATGGATTTAACAATATAATTTCAAAAGGATGTGGTATAGTATTTTTAAATGATTATAGTATAATTTCAAAAGGATGTGGTATACTATTTTTTTTTTAATTTTTTTTTAACGTTTATTATTTTTGGGACAGAGAGAGACAGAGCATGAACGGGGGAGGGGCAGAGAGAGAGGGAGACACAGAATCGGAAACAGGCTCCAGGCTCCGAGCCATCAGCTCAGAGCCTGACGTGGGGCTCGAACTCACGGAGCGCGAGATCGTGACCTGGCTGAAGTCGGACGCTTAACCGACTGCACCACCCAGGCGCCCCTGTGGTATACTATTTTTAAATGATTACATTTTATTTTAGAAAAAAACTAGCCCAATGGCATTTTACTTATACTTAAAATCATGAAAACACATAGCTTCTGATACAGCTACTTATAAAGCTAGAATATTTATTATCCTAAGTTCTATATACCTGAGCAGTATCAGGAAATATCAGTTTGGATTATTATACTCACTTTTGAATTGTATTTAGGAACATGAAAAAAATTCAGTGGCAATATTTGCCTAAAAATACGTTAAAATCTTTTCCAAGCATTCTGTTTAGTACATGTAACTGATAAGAACACTAAATGCAGAAACTGTTATAGATATTATTTATTTTCCATTGTATCCTATAAGGAAATGACTTTGTTTCTAACACGTAAGTGGCCAACAGACATTATATATTGAGGTATCTATCTGAATAACAGAGATATACACTTAATCCTCTTCTGAAATGTGTCTGGGAAAATGAGCTGAAGTCAAGTTTTTCATTAGCATGAGCTTTTGATATAAAGAAAACATCTTACCTTCCACTCAGAGATGAAAAGAAAGGCACTACATGTATTCCCAAGGGGCCTCCTTCCCCAGAAATCTCCACTGTTCTTGTCATATCACTGGGGCAGGAAAAAAAAAAAAAGAAGCATATTATAAAAAAAAAAACAAAAACACAACTACTGTAAATTCAACAGCAGAGAGGAAATCAAAGGAGTATATGATTTGCTGGTATTTTCACGAGATACAGGAAATAAAAATGTTTAAGACTATCTGATTTCTATTTTTTTTCCCCAGAAGAGAAACAAATGGAAATAACGACCCACAAAAATAACTTCCTATTTAAGTTAATCTGCATAAATCAACATATTTAAAAGGATGTACACAAAAATGAAATTTCTCCCCATTGAGACACACTTGAAATTACTCTACAGATGATAAAAATACGTGGAATTAAGCCTATCTATGCTTAAGCATAAAGTAGGCTCTCCTCTCCAGAACAGGAAAATTGAAATAAAATATGTATTTATCAGAAAAAGCACAGAATTACATTTTACAACAGTGAAGCCACAGTTGGTAATACATATGGACATGTTCAGAGCATTATAAATCAAAACTTACACTTGCCTTTCAGTAAGGCATCAGTTGTATTCAATGGAACAATTCTAAATTTTCACCTCCTACTTTTTTTTTTAGAGGTAGAAAAAGAAGTTGTAAAGCCTGGGGAAAATGTATTATAGAAAGAAATAGAAAGCCTGACCCGCCTAACCTACTCCAGATTAAGGAGAGGATGAGCTAGAAACATTAATGGATTGTGTGTATGACTGAAATATACAAGACATTGGGAAACTTTGAGTAATAAAGAGCGGAACTAACAAGTTTTTATGAAGATGAAAAATAATAACCGTGAACAATTATTGGCTCCTTTAATCCCACAGACTGAAAATAAAATTGCCAGAGGAAAAATGATAAAGTTGAAGCAAACATCCCTGTTATGGAAATTGTAAGCAGGTCTCTATTGTTTCCTATTTACATGAAAATGACCTGAAACTGGATGTCAAATTAAGAGCTACAGCTGTTACAAATGCTTTTCTGTTCCAAATTGAAAATGGTGAAATTTTGGCTCCTTGCTAGAAAGTTGAGAACAGCATAAGAAAGTAAAATGCCTGATGAATTCACTCTGCATTTAGTGCTCTCTGAATTATCAGCAATCTAAAATAAACACATTAAATATATTCTCATCAGTGGACTAGGCTTATTTTTAATGTGTTTCTATTGCAAACTTATTATCATTAGGAACTGTAAAAAAGAGCATGTCAGTTTCTAGCATTTGTGGAATATGACGGAATTTCAATCTGATAATAAATTTCAAATGAGTTTTGCTCAGATATTGCTGATATATTTAAAACTTGTTCAGTCAAGCAGGTTATATCAGAGGCCTCGAGAAAAAGTTAAAAATAAAACAAATCTTAGAGTGATAATATCATGGGATAAAATAGATTCTTCTTGATACTTTCAGTGTGAGAATACAGATATTATATGGATACACATATATATGAAATACCATATGTAGGTATACATTATATGCTCTGAATATAAAATATCTACTGGGAAGAGAAAGTTGTATAGCTTTTAATGGACCACAAAGCAACAATTTTTATGTAATAACCGATTTATAGTTCATTCGTAGGTATTTGAGGAGGAGTAAACCCAAAGTATTAACACTCTAGGGTAATGGTACTGTTCTAAAGACTTTTAGAAACAAAGACAAAAATCTCATTTAACCATTAAAACTTTTCTTATCTCTACCTTTACTATGTATTTTTATAGTTTTGCACTTAGAACATAACACAAATCTTTCCTAACAAATGTATTAAATATCCATGTGCTAATAGACAGCACTCATATGTATTATATTGAGGCTTTTGGAATGTAAGTGTTTAGTATAGAGTTCAAAATTTCAGCTTAATAATTTCTAGGATGGCTTTATGATTTTTCTTATCTATTTTGCAAACATTTCTTTACCTAGCTCAAAACCCCTCCTGTAAAACATAATAAATATTACGTATTATGCTGATACCTACTTCTTAGGAACTAACAATCCTCTATTTTTACACTCACTTAATAAAGTTAATCTTATAATTTGTTAAAGCAATCAATCTTGTTTCAAAACACTACAACCATTTTGGAGATGCAGTTTAAAGGTTCATTTATACTTTATAAGTTTCTCGTTTTCGATATCTCAGAATAAGCCCATGCTATCTATATACACAAGAGTCACAATAATTTGGCAAGAAGGATGTGTGACAAATGTTAAACTACTATCGTAAAAATATTATCCCAGAAAAGAAAAGCATAAAAGACTTTTGGTTTTGTAGGCTGTAATATTCAGGAAGTTATAGAGAATTAAATATTATTTAATATTTCAAGTCATTATAAGTTTTATACGTACCATGTTTTGCCATGCTCTTCATAAAATGCTATCCATTATTCCAAGATGGAAAGAAAAGCTTTTGAAAAAGGAAGCCTGACAGATGAGTCCGTGTATTTTTATTTATTTTAAAAGTGCGGAACAAAACTATTGTGTTATATGTACCTGCTGGAGTTCTGCAGCATTCTCTGTATATGCACCTTTCATGAAAGATAAACACAGCAACTAGGGCTAGACACAATTATTTGAATTCTAATCTCATAAAGTGAGATTTTACTACAACATGGAAATATGCTATTAATGCCATTTGTTTAGGCAAAACACAGAGTAGGGTTCAGGGACCAGCGAGCAGAAAGCGTATACATTAATTTACGTTTTGGAGGCAGATTGAGAACGGAAAATTTAGAGAACGAGGTGGAGAGGATATTCTAGCAGTGGAAAGAAAAAGGAACTGGCAGCTTCTTGTGAAAAACAGATTCAAAATGAAACGGGGGTAAAGGGTAAAAAATTACATCGAGGAAAGCTAAAAGTTGCGCTCGGATCTAAACAGCTAACTTTATGCAACTTTCTAAAGACATACTAAAACCAAAGCAGACAGTCACAGAACATTCAATCCAATAGTATTAATCAAGCTAAATGTTCTAAGATCCAACCACCGCAGTGATTCAAGTAATTGCTGGGAACCTGTTATTAGCTAAGATGTTAGGACAAAAGTCTGGGTGAAGGTACAGAATAAGAGGTTAAAAGTGAACCTGTCATGAGCAGCTACCTTGCAGGAACTCAGTGGCAAGTGCTCTATGTTGTTCCATCCAGAAGAAACACATGAAGCTTGAGGAAAGAATACGAGAGCTGCAGACAGGTCCAATTCCTCACACAAGGCAAACGGGCAGCATTTTTAACATTGAGATTATTCAACTCAGTCACAGGCCACTCACTTAGGGTCAGGAAGAGACAGGACTGAGTGTAGGTAGTGGGGGATATCTTGCTTTGGAGGGAAATCATGACTAACTTATGAAAGTAGAGACAGAAAGTGTATCTTAGTGGAGGCTTTGAGCCAGATTCTGAGTAAATCATTTAAACTGAGACCAAAAGTATTAGTTTCCTCATTTGGACTATAAGGAAATAAAGATAAATTCCTAATAGAATGGTTGGTTTAAGAAAAATTAGAGAACATAACATATACATCATATACACAGTACCTGGCATATACAAAAGGTTCAATAAGTATCAGCTATTAGGATGATTATTAAAACTTTTTGAGGGAATAAGTTTAAGGGTTAAAAGGAAATTATCTCAAACTTTCCATTTTTTTCTCAACTGATTTCTTCAGTGAGACTTTTATCTTTAAAGTTTATCTATTTTGAGAAAGAAAGAGAGAGAATAATGCTTGTGTACAGGCAGAGGAGGGGCAGAGAGAGAGAATCCCAAGCAGGCCCTGCATTGTCAGCATGAAGCCTGATACGTGATCCCATGAACCCTGAGATCATGACCTGAGCTGACATTAAGAATCGGGCACTTAACCGCCTGAGCCACCCAGGTGCCCCCTCAGTGAGACTTTGAAATATTCTGTAAAAAAAAATTTAATGTTTATTTATTTTTGAGAGAGACAGAGAGAGACAGAGTGTGAGCGGGGTAGGGGCAGAGAGAGGGGGAGACACAGAATCCGAAGCAGGCTCCAGGCTCCAAGCTTCCAGCACAGATGGACCTGGGACTCAAACTCACAAACTGCGGGATCATGACCTGAGCCCAAGTCAGATGCTTAACCGACTGAGCCACCCAGGCGCCTCAACTTTGAAAATATTCTTAAGTACTCCACATTCTTAAATGTGGAGGAACACATTTCCTCCATGATGACTGGTGCCATAGACAAGATGATGGGCAATAAATGGGTAGAAGGTATTAGCCGGTGTTCTTTAGGCACTAAAGCACAGGTCTGCCATACAGAACAGTATTAGAGATGAAGTGAAGACAGCAAGACCTCCCAGAAGAGTTTGTTGGTGGCATGGAAGTCTGCTTGGTCATGATGTCTTGTTGATGAAAATATACTGAGTAAATCACGTATTTTGTTGTTGATGGTGGTGGGATTCATTTAATATACCTGAATTCAATGTATATATTTACTGAGTAGTAGTTCCAATAAGGATGTTCCGCAGGGAAAACACAGAGGCCAATGTCTGAGGAGTTCATAACCTAGGAGCAGGTTAAGACAGGTAATAAAGAATAATACAAAGCAATGGAATAGTAGTAGTAATTGTAGTGTATTCTCAATGATTATAAGCTACTATGTGCTAAGTGCCTTCTGGCATGATAACATGTACTCCTATCAAATGTATAAACATACCAGTTCCATTTTACAGAGAAGTAAACTGATACCTAGAAAGGTAAAGTAATTGCCCAACATTACATCATTTATACAAGGTAGAGTCAGGCTTCAAACTGGAATTTATTGTATTCTATAGAGCAGGCATTTTTAACTACGTGCATGTGAGTTTCAAAGCAGAGGCACTTTCCAATGAGGCTTGGAGGAAATCAGTACAACATCAGGCAGAGAAGCGAGATCACAAAAATCTTCCTGAAGGAGGTACATTTTAGATGGAACTACAAAGGGCAAAAAGTTCTTCCATCAGAAAAAGTAGGTGAGGGGATGGAGAGGGCACGCAGATGAGAGAACACCATCTATGCAGGAACGGTGAACCAGAATGGTTTGTGGGCACACAGACTGGTTGTGATATTAAAAGAAAAAGGCTAGTGAGCAAAGAGAAAGGAAGGAAAAGATGGGGGAGGTATTGAGAAGGTTGAATCATCAGCTTGAGATCAAATCTCAAAGGGATAGGTCAAATTTCACCCTGAAAAAAAAGCACATTTAGTTTTACAGAAAATGGAGCCAGTAAAGGTGTTGGTACTAAGAAGTGGTGTGATAAATGCTGTGGTTTAGAAATATTCATCTGGCAATGATATGTGGGATCAATTAGAAAAGAGAAAGACAAGATAGAGATTGGTCCTTGAGACAGGAACTAGTAAATCACTACAATAATCTGAGAGGTAGTAGGGTTTGAATAATAATTACAGGAATAAAGGATGGACACCCGGGGATAGTTCAAGGGTTTGTTGTTGTTGTAGTTACTCTTTTTGACACAGACTCTCCCAATAATTTGCCAAATGAATGGATATCAGAGGCAAAAAAATAAAACCTGATGGCCATTTTAAGCCTGGAAAAAAAAGGTAAGTCTGGAGGAGGCTAACTTGGAGATGTATCAAGGAATAGGTTGAGATCGGGAATGAGGTAGAATTTAGAAATGAGGCGAAGGCTTTTTGCACATATTGCTTGCTATTAAAAACAAACAAACAAACAAACCAAACACCCAACAGAAACCTCTTGTTCCATCATGTTAAGATCAAGATAAATTGAGTAGTGCTTCATAAGACATACATATTGTAAGACTATTTGGAGAACTCCTTCTAACAGTTAAATGTCTTTAAATAAATGTGTTAGTAATGGGTGAGCAGTTAATAGGTATGCTTATGATGTATGCAGCAATGTGTTCTAACCATTCAGTGAACAAATATGCTGCTATCATGTTCCAAGACCTGTACGAAGTGTCAGGAATCCCTTGGAAGATTCCCAATTTTATATGGGAGAATGACAGTTAAAATAAACTGTAGTCTGTGTGCTAACTATAACTGCAGTAGCAATTAGTATTTATCCAGCCTTTCATTTAACATTGTGCTAAGTGCAACTGCCTGTGCTAAATCTCATTTAATCTTCAAAATAACCTATATGATCATGTTACCCACTTTCCATATTAAAAAAAAAAAAAAATCAAAAGGTTAAATAATTAGTCCAAAGTCACATAGGCAGTGTTCAAACTCAGGATTTAATGAAATCCAAAGGTTCAGGAATGAAGGAATGGTTTGACGAATGCTGTGTTTTAAGAAATTTTATCTAGTAGTGATATAGGAGATCCATTAAGATAAAGAGAGATTGATATTCAAGAGAAGAGATAGTAGGTTGTTACAACAGTCTGAAAGGGAAAGAAGGCTTGAGCAGTGACTCTTGGAATTAAAACACAGGAATAGGTTCAAAACATTTTGAGATGGATTCTGGAAATAATTTACCGGCTTCTATGTCACCTACATTGAAGTGAGGCCAAAGTACTCTCCTTGGGCCAAGCTCTGTGGGATATCATGTTCTCCTTGCCCCAGGAGAATGCTGACAATGGAACGCAGCCAAAAGCGACTTCCTAATTCCTCTTCATTTGTTTCTTCATCATCCCATAGCAGCTGGAACCTATGTCCTCTCCTAAAATTATAATCTCCAAGCTTTCAGCTGCTGGCGGTGCATTCCATGCTATTAAGATCCCTCTCATTCTCCCTCTATCCTACCCAAGAACCGGCAAGTGCTGAGAGTTTCCACTTACTCTACTTTCTGAACTTGACCCTGATTTCAGCTCATTTCTCCAAACTGGCATTCACCACATTAAGTTTCTTACCATGAAATAAAACACCAAAGAGTACAGGAAGATGTACATAGCAGGTAACACTGCAGTCTAAGAACTTGGAGACAAGAGTGGTGGGGGTAGACTGGGTCTCTAGAAGTTACTTAATTGCTCTAAATTGCAATTTATTAGCCTACTAAATGCGATAAGACTTTTGCAAAAATGCTGTTTTGATAATCAAATTATACATATGCATACATATATTTTAATTAAAGATTTTTTTTCTTAATTCCTATACTCTATTCCTCTCAATTCTTTGTACCTGGAGGAAGTTTAGCTACTTTGTTCCTCTAGGCATTAATCAAACAACTGTTCACTCAACAGCATCTATCTACCTAACATTTAGCCAAGATGTTAGCAAACTTTACCAAGAGCTAACATTGAAAAAAATGAAATTAAAGGCAAATAGAAGAAGAGTATTACAGGGGCGCCTGGGTGGCGCAGTCGGTTAAGCGTCCGACTTCAGCCAGGTCACGATCTCGCGGTCCGTGAGTTCGAGCCCCGCGTCAGGCTCTGGGCTGATGGCTCAGAGCCTGGAGCCTGTTTCCGATTCTGTGTCTTCCTCTCTCTCTGCCCCTCCCCTGTTCATGCTCTGTCTCTCTCTGTCCCAAAAATAAATAAACGTTGAAAAAAAAATTTTTAAAAAAGAAGAAGAGTATTACATTCATTCTGTCCACCTCCAAAAACAATCTTATCAAGCTTCTCAAAAGACAGTGCCCAGGAGATTTCATATACCAAAATTTTAATGTTGTGCATCTCAGTAATCAAAGAAATATAATCTAAACAGGACTACTATGTCACGTGGCTATAAATTGTAAGCCTCAGGAAAGTCTGCACAGTATTTCAGTGTGATAAAGGATGATCACATATTTTCTTTAAAAAGCTAATTCCATGTAAAATGCCTGGCAACTATTAGTAACTGGACTGAATGAAAAGAATAGGTTGAGTACATGAATAACTGAATGACTGTCAACCTCAGAAGCATCACCTCTGAGCGCTGAAGCCAATAATCTATTGAACATGGAATTACTTTCCCGGTACAAAATGTGAAGCAACTTAGAAAAAATGACGGTAAGAATGATGGTTGTGGTGGTGATGATCAGCACCCCCCTCCTCATAACAGAGACGATGGTGACAATGGTAACAGTAACAGTGGTAGCCAACAGCAGCCAATACCCCCAGGGCTTACTCTGGCCCAGGCACTGTTCAAAGTGTTTTACGTACACTAAGTCATTTCATCTTCATACCAACCCTCTCAAGAAGGTTTTAATATTATTTCTGTTTACAGACTGGAAAGTAAGGCAAAGGGAGATGAGTAACTCGCCTAAGCTCATAGAACTGCTAAGCAGCGAAACTGGGAGCCGAACCCATGCAGTAGCGAAGGCAGAACTAGAAATCAGTGCAGAACAAAGGCAGGGTCGGTTAAGTGCGAGAGCAAAGGACTTCATATAATGAGTTACTTACATTAAAAACATGAAAGATCCTGGGTGACAGACGGGATTCATTTTACATACATTGAGTAAAATATTGCAAGATGGTGAAAACACAATGCAAACTAATATTCAAGGAGCTAACGTCCCTGTAAAACACTCAACCAGAATGAACTCCGAAAATTCACTTTAAACTGTTGTTCAAAGGGGAAAAAAGCAATTAAGAAATCCAGGTTGCAGAAGAGTTGAAAGACGTGGAGGCTCATTCCTATATGTTTGTCAGGAGGCTCTCATATCATAAAAGGAAATAAAAGAATGACTAATTAATTTTAGAACTGGGAAGGTTTCACTCCACTATGCTACTTATCTTCATCTTCCCTATAAAATAAAAAAACAACAGCTACAAATTGTGAAAGAAACAAACATCAACCTGAAATAACTAAAATACTCTGATTCACGTAAAGAGAATACCTCAATGCATCCTTGGTTTTCAGCGATGCCAGGAGTTCTGTCTGCACACCATTCATAACTTCTCCATCTTCTAAGTTCTGTGTGGAATCCTGTAGTCAAACAAACCCATGAGCATGTGGATGCTATGCATTTAGAACTGAAAATTTGAATAAAATGTCTCAATGTGAGGTAGCAAATGGTTTTTCTCTAGATATATACAGTATGCTCCAATTTCTTTGAAGACTGGAAACAGGTGTTAATCTTTTCAGGGCTTTCAATGTTCTTTTCTCTCCCATTTGGTTTCTGAAATACTCAAACGGGCCATTTACACAAGCCAATATGTTAAGAGCTGTGGAATACATCATTTAGCTTCCTGCTACTCAACCATAAGCTTTTGGGACTGAGTGTTTTACGTCAGCAAGGAAAAGGGGTACCAAAGGGAAGGTGCCACTGACAGGTGGTGATGTATTGGCTTTAATGTACTGTACTTGCCTGCACCCCCTGGTGACACTAAAAATATAAAGAAAGCAAAGTCCATGGAAAAAAAAAGTTGCCTGGAAAGGTCACTTCGGTCAAAAGTGTAACAGGACTGTGGCAGGAAAAGAAATCCGGAGTTCTTATTTTGTCATAAGACTTTCACTCTGAGAATGATCTTCAGCAGAGAGAAACTAAAATTAACCACTTAGTTTCTCAAATGGTAAGCACTCTCCCGCTACAGAAAGGGAAAAGGGTCAGGGAAGTAGAGTCCTCCAAGACAGTGGCAAAGTTGAGTTGGCTGTCACATAGGGAGAATGGATTCCAAAAAGCAAGTTGATTTAGAATCTCACTTGGAAGGCATTAGATTTCTGTTAGGCTTCTGAGCTGTACTTTAACAGAGCGGTTCTGCAGATACACCACTCTTTAGAAGCAAAGTCACAGTGTTCTTCACGGACTCAGGTTTCACCAAAACAACAAACCACATGGAGAAAGAAAGACCCGTTGTCAACAACCACACCTGTAAACAGAACATTCATGGATCTGACAGCATCATTTCAACAACAAGGAAAGACAATATATCAGGTCAGAGGTTGGGCATAAAGGAATTAGGTTCATATCTTGAAGAAAACAAGATGTGGAGCCACAACTCAAGCAGCATGTCATTGTGAAATGAGTAAAATGTATTTCACTTTTATTTATTTATTTGTTTGTTTGTTTGTTATTATTTATTTATTTATTTATTTAATTTATTAATTTTTGAGACAGAGAGACACGGAGCATGAACGGGGGAGGGTCAGAGAGAGAGGGAGACACAGAATCCGAAACAGGCTCCAGGCTCTGAGCTGTCAGCACAGAGCCAGATGTGGGGCTTGAACTCATGGACCGCGAGATCATGACCTGAGCTGAAGGTGGATGGTTAACCGACTGAGCCACCCAGGCGCCCCTGTATTTCACTTTTAGACTGAGTAGCAACATCTCACATTGGCTTGCGGGTTCTGTGGAGGACTTGGTCTACACTAGATTTTTCTTTTTCTTTCTTTTAATTTGTTTTCTCTTTTCCACAGGGATAAAGAAAGGGAAGAAAATCTAAAAGGCTAAAGCACACTTTTTAGTTTAGGGCACCAAATCTTAAAGGATGAATGTCTTTGAAAGCTTTCAAACATTCATATTATTATGAAGGGCTTGAGAGATGCTTACAGAGAAAAGAGACAGGGGCTGGGCAGGTTACAAAAATACTTACGTAGACAATTTAACAAAATATTTGAACTTGAGACTACTGCACATGTCAGAACACTTGATGGCTGCATTTGTCGAAACCATACTTTCCTACCTGACCCTCTTACACAAGATGAAGTGCTATGAAGGGTAAGGACACGTCTAGTCCTCTGCCAAGTACACAACACACAGAGCTCATTTAGTGAATGTTAACGAACGCATGAGGTAGAATGGCATTGTATTAGTTTCCAAATGCTGTGTAATAAATTACTCCCAAATTAAATGGATTAAAAACAACAACAACAACAATTCTCTCTCATAGTTTCTGGAAATCAACTATTTAGAAGTGGCTTCGATAGGGGAGTTCTGGGGCAGAATCGCTCATGAGGTTGCAACATTTTAAGATGTCAACAGGAATGCCTCCTCAAGCACTGAGAGGCTTCACTGGGGCTTTAAGACCTACTATTTTTTTTCTGATAGGAGGCACATTATGATATAATTCACATAACCCTTTTATTAAAGGTTATTTAATTTATTTAAAGGTTAAAGTGTATTTATTTAAGGGTTATTAAATTAACCCTTTTAAAAAGTACAGCCTATTTTAGCTTATCCACAGAATTTTGCAACCATCACCACTGTCTAATTTTAAAACAATTTCAAAACCCCAAAGAGAAACTGCATACCCATGAGCCATCACTCCTCATTCTGCCTACCCCCACTCCTGGAAATCATTAATTTAATTTCTGTCTCTAAGAATTTATGTCTTATGAACATTTTATACAGACAGAATCATAAGATACATGGCTTTTATCACTGAGTATGAGGTTCTCAAAGTTCATTCATATTGTAGCATGTGTCAATATTTCACTGCATTTTATGGCTAAATAATATTCCATTGTATCAATACACCACGTTTTGTTTACCCATTCATCACTCGATGGGCATTTGGGTTATTTCCACTTTTTTTGATTATAAATAATTTTGCTATGAACATTTGAAATAATGTTCACTTGTGAAATAATGTGGCTAAGAACCACAAGTTCTTGTGTGCATATGTGTTTTCATTTCTCTTTGATATATACGTAGGGGTAGAATTCCCGAGTCATATGGTAACTCTGTTAAACATTTTGAGGAACTGCTATACTATTTCCAAAGTGTTGCACAATTTTACATCCCTATTGGCAATAGATGAGGATTCCAATTTCTCTCAGTCCTCGCCTTTTTGCACTTTTTATTTTTCTTTCTTAAATTTGAGCTATCATAGTGTGTGTGAAGTGGTTTTTATTTTGCACGTCCCCAAGGGCTAATGATTTGCATTTCTTTATAATGACCAATGATGCTGAGCATCTTCCCGTGTGATTATTGGACATCTGTACCTTTTCTTTGAAGAAATATCTAAATATTTATCCTTTTATTACTGAATTTTAAGCGCTCTTTAAATATTCTGTACACAGATTCCTTAGATACATGATTTGCCGATATTTCTTCCCATTCTGTGGGAGACATTTCTTGAAATTTCTCAATGTGCCCTTTGAAGCACAAAAGTTTTTAATTTTAATGAAGTTCAAGTTATCTTTTCTTTTTTCCTATTGTCGCTAGTGCTTTTTGGCGTTGTATCAAAGAAACATTGCCTACTACAAGGTCACAAAGATTCACTCCTATATATTCTTATAAGAGGTTTTTTTTTTTTTAATGTTTGTTTATTTTTGAGAGGGAGAGAGAGAGGGGGAGAGAGTGAGCACACACGTGTGTAGGGAGGATCAGAGAGACAGTCTTAAGCAGGTTCCACAGAGTCAGAGCAGAGTCCAATGCGGGGCTGGATCTTACGAACTGTGAGATCATGACCTGAGCCAAAATCAAGAGTTAGATGCTTAACTAAATGAGCCACCCAGGAGACCCTCTTCTAAGAGTTTTATAAAGTTAGCTGTTGTATTTGGGCATATAACTATTTTGAGTTAATTTCTGTACACAGTGCGAGGTAGGGATCCAACCTCAGTTCTTGCATATTTAGCTGTGACTGAACCATCGGTTCAAAACACTATTCTTTCCCCATTGAGTTGTCTTAACATCCTTATCAGAACCCAACTGAGCAAAACTGTAAAAGGGTTCATTTCTGTACTCTCAGTCATATTCCATTGATCTATACTTGTGTTACAGTCTTGATTATTTGTTGTATACGAAGTTTTGAAATCAGGAAGTGGGAGTCCTCCATATTTGTTCTTTTCCAACTTTGTTTTGGCTATTCCGAGTCCCATGCATATTCATACAAATTTTAGATTCAGAACATCAAGTTCTGCAAGAAAAAAAAAAGCTAGCTAGATTTTGGGAAGAATCACATTGAATCTGTAGATCAATTTAGCGAGTATTAGCATCTTAAGATAAATAAAGGCTTTTCATCCATGAATGGTTAACAGTGGCTATTAACGAAAATAAATATTCTCTTTGGCTCTGTAATTCTTCATAGATATATAGCTTCGGAATGTCAAAGAAAAAATTGGGATATATGTTATAAAATTTTAACTATCTTTGCCTCTTTGTTCTCTATTTCAGGTGAAATTTTCTTATTTATCCCTTGCTAAGGTAAGAAAATAACACACTTTCTGGTTCAAATCAACATGCTACAAGTTAAAATACCTTTTTTTTTTCTAGTTCTAGTTAGATGGTAAGTAAAGGTTCTATTTATGTCAACAACATACTTAATGCTCTGAGTATCTGGAAATGTCAATTAGAATCTGAAAGCAATATTGGGCCAACTGCAATGTGATAACCTGCTCAAGGGTAATTCTGAACTGACTGTGGTTTTACAGCAATCGTGTCAATAACTACAGCCTTAAAAAGGCACACACACACACGTTCACAGACTTCTATGTCTAAGACAAGAGTTCTATTTTAAAAGCAGCATCAAAAACTTTTTGCTTTTCCACAGCTATCAAAAAAGGACAGTTACTATAGTTTATCGTCTCACTAACGGGCAGTGTTTGTCACTTGCCAAAATCATTTCTATATACTGCAATAACAGAATGCTTTGATATTCTCTAGAGATGGGGCAGGCGGACAGAGGCTCGGGGCTTCCTGCAAGGACACAAAGCCAATTCCGAATTGACTTCAACAACAGTGTAGTCATGCAGTGCTTCAAGACTTATAGACAACAGCAGCTTATTTTTTGACAGGGTCCAAAAGATCACCTTCTTCCAGAAATTGCAAAATATCTGACAGGCGATAATTTAAGAGCGCTGGGGCTTTTCCTTCACTAAACTGCATGGTGAGAAGTCACGAAATCACACATATCTAAAAATGAATTTTTTTCCCCCTCATAACTTATTTAAATAACTTGGAGAAAAATCGGTAGAATCTGACTTTTAAATTGGGAAGTAAAGGGGCAAAAATAGTCTGATTATGAAGAGTGAGGGGTATAAACACCTGGTGCGGAACAGCCACTAGATTTAACTTTAGACTTGAGAAATATTAATTATGTGATTTCAAATCCCCAAACTTGCCTCTAGAAATAGTCAATGGTTTGAGAAGCTCTATACTTAATTTTGTTAATAAAATTATTTTCTTAATGTTAACTTAAAAGAGAGAGATGTGCTCCGCTGCATAGAATACAAGGGTAGAAAGCAACTTCAAAATTGTTTTCGTCTCCTCCTTTTGCCCACATTACACTTCTTTGCTCTCTGATAAAGTTCAGCAGGAGGTTGTGTCTGGCTGACCAGGCAGAGGCCTTGAAAGAAGCTTGTCCTTTATCTCCTTTGATCAGAGCAGGGAACATATCCTATGTGGCTCTCACAACAGACAAGTTTAATTACTACAATTTGTAAAAAGTGAACATTTTTAGCAGCACTTTCAGGATCACGGGAGCATTTCTGACAGCCAGAATGAGTTGGATTTAAACATCACTGCACTATTTTTAGCCTTAAAATCAACACTTACATAAATATTCCCAAACCAATTAGCAGCAGCTGGAAAGTAAAGGTGTTTACATTTAGTTAGCACTACGCTAACAACTGCAAGGGCTCACAGGCTGCATGAAAGGGGGGCCCAGCACCGGGCAGGGTCCTCCTCCCCAGGGCAAGCGTGGTGTTGGCACCAGGCTATCATTTCATATCTCAGTTGGCAGAAGTCACCGATTTCATGCAGGAGAATGTTGTCGGGATGGAGCCTCATGAAGTTATACATCCCCAAATAGACTGAACACCCTTGATAAAACTTTTCGGGAAGAAAACGCTACCCAAATTCTCATTGCTTTTCCCTGGCTGACCACAGCTCTACAACAATACTAAAAACAGTTTTACAGCTCAGTTTTTCATGTCTCAGCTGAGAACGAAAATAGATGTGCCGTTATCGACAGATGCCTTTGACATATAGGTGAAAATACACAGCCTTGATGTCTTCCCCCCAGCTCAATGCACCTTCGCCACATTTGAAACCACTTGCCCACAAAATTTTAACTGCAATTGAGTTATGTTTCAAAGCTCAGGTGCATATTATAACAATATTTGCATTCTCAAAAGCTAACTGTAAGTTTCTTTTGAAATCGCACACGAAATGTAGAATGAGAGTAATAGAAAAATTATACAGAGAAGATTTGAACGTCAGGTTACGTGCCTGATGCTCATACATAAACATAATGTAAATGGTAAAATTAAAATTCTGGGCATAATTTCAGAATATTTGTTTTTACATTTTAGAACAAGAATATCTCTGCTAAGTAAAAACAAGTTGTATTTGAGAAGCACACATATGAAATGATCATGCATTTTGGTAGTCAAGTGCTGTTATTCAAGCCTGACCTAATATATACTCTTCATGCCTTGGGCAATGCCTCACCTTGGGAAATCTCTCAGTTGGCTGCACAGATACTACCTCAAACTGTTTCACTTCTAGCAATTTCACCATGCCCATAATTGACTTTATATGCATTTTTTCATATTTTTATTTACATATATTATGTATTAGATTCTATATCCATATGTCTAGAAATTGGCAAGAATTTCAAATCAGAGATGTTGAAAATGCTGTTTCAAGTTTCCTAAGAATGAGAACAATTTATTTTATTTTTAACAGTGATCCTCAAACTTTGGCATGCATTAGAATCACCCGCAGCCTTGTGAAAACAGATTATTGGGGCCCATCTGAGGTTCTGATGTCGTAGGTTAGGGTAAGCCCTGTGAGTCTGCATTTCTAACAAGTTCCTGATGCTTCTAGTCAAGGAAACACACTTTGAGAAACACTGCCATATAGCGACTAGTGCAGATCTTCAGAAATCCTTGATGATATTAATTAAGCACTGGAAAGACTGGTGCTGATGAGCCAGTCTAGTCCATTCATGTTATAGCTAAGGAAACTGAGACCCAGTTTATTGTGACAATGACAAAGCCAGAATCTAGGATTCTTGATTTTCAGTTCAGTCTTTCTTCTGTGTATCATAGGAAATAGCTGCTGACCTATGAATGCTGACATTATTTTTATGGATCTTTTTTTCTTTCAATGACATTAACAAAAACTCTAATAATGTCTTGGATATATTTTATCTTTTTTCAAAGATCTCGAAATATGTCATATAAAGCTAGCTCCATATTCTTGATAATCCTAAATAAATTCTTGGAAGTCCTATTTTAATTTTACACATGGACATAGCCCAAACCAAAAAGATTAAGGTCTTGTCCACAGTGAAACTTAGGATCCATGTCTCCTAAAATTTAGGTCCGTGTGTAGGCGTGTTAACATATTTACATTGTAATGTCTCTTAGTTACAGATTTTATGCAAATAGAATGAAGAAACAGCATCCTATCACAAAACATTAAAATACATTATTTACATGAAAAACTATCAAGTGTTTCATTATTCTGAAGATTGAGCTCTACTAATTCCATTGCTTTTAGATAAAAAGTTATTTTGGAGGAATACAATTAATTAGATCATAACTTATTAGTTCCCAAACCTTGCCTATGAGGTGGTTGTGCACTCATACACACACACTGCTAAGGCACAAGTAAGTTACCTGAATGGATACGGGATAAGACTGGATGGGATTCAAATGATTCTGGACTTCGGAAAATACACTAAAAGCCAGCCGTCTTCCAGTGGACTGTCTCCCAGAGACTGCCCAGTTGGAAATGACATGCTTCCCAGGTTAAATCCCAGTGACGACACAGAGGTGGCCATACCTTGTCTTCATCTGGTTCGTGTCCAAGAGCTGTTGCGTAGTTTGCACAGGTTTAACAAAAATACATTTTAAACCAATGCACAGTAGTAAAATTAAGCTCAGCTCTCAGACAAAGGAGAAAGTTCCCAATACAAGCTCTCTCAGTGCTTTGCCTAGTGACCGGATACCTAATCTCTTGGACCTCAAATTCATTATCTATAAAATGAAGACAAGATTTCTATTTCCATTCCAGATATAAAATGTCCCAGTGCTTAGTGAAGGTACGCTACAGAGTAAGGCAGGTAAGCCCCCACTGAAGAAATATAAAAATTCTCCAAGAGATCAATTAAGAGTGATTATTCATTAGAACAATTGGTTTCTTGGAAAGCTTCTCCTGAGAAGCAAATTCTCATAGAAATATATAATTTTATACTTTCTTAACATACTGATTCTAAATAACTTTTGAGGAACAATTGTATGGCATGAGGTGAAGCATACTTGAAATAAACCCTCCCCTCTCTACCTCATTATCTTATATTCTATGCTCTTTTCTTGGATATTTCCTTTCCTTCTCTTTGTTAATAATTAGCACAGTTAGAATTCATTGTTACGATTTCCCAGTATTCAGACTGAGGTTTCAGAAGACAAATGGAATTTCTTTAATAGTTTTTTTTTTTTTTTAAATGTATACCCTTTATACATTTTACCTGCTGGGGTTGTTGGTAATTTTTGCTTGTGTGATTCTGGTAGGAATTTATAAAGTGGCCTTGATAAAGGCCTGATATACTTGATATCAGGCAGTCAAAATCCAGTATGAATTTAAAGAGCGGGGGGATCTGTCTTATTTGTGGGATCTGGGTAGAATAGACATACTGACCAATCTCATCGAGGTATTAAATGATAACGATGTCAGGATCAGCATGTCACCTGCTCTGATCTTTCCACAGAAGGCCAACACCAATGCATGGCTGTGTCCCAAGCAAACATGTTCAATGAAAGGCTGCTTTAAAATCTTTAGAAATGCAGAAGTTCAGAAATTCAACAAGGAGATTCTGCAACTGCTATTTTAATATCCATTGTTCTTACACCCAACATATTTCACAAAGTGCTGAAATGAAATGTGGAAAATACATGTATTTTTTTCCAATACAACACTGACACAAACGTACTTATTTATTAAAAAAAAATTTTTTTTAACGTTTATTTATTTTTGAGACAGAGAGAGACAGAGCATGAACGGGGGAGGGGCAGAGAGAGAGGGAGGCACAGAATCGCAAGCAGGCTCCAGGCTCCGAGCCATCAGCCCAGAGCCTGATGGGACTGAAAGGGTGTCAATACTGAACAACACAGCATGCTCTCCCATAAGGGTCTGCTTGAGATCACGCTCCCACCGTAAAACATACACTCAAAGGTGCTGTGAACATCTGCTTCTCTCCCATTTAATCCATTTAAACTGTACCATCTTCTCAAATATTTAGAATACAGAACTGTCAAAGTGGACAGTTTGATGCCTTTGGGGCCTCATGTGTGTCTACAAACCATCACCCAAAGCTGGCAAATATAAAAAGACTTAAGGAAGTTGGGATAATTCAGCAATTACAAAAGAAAAAAATCCCACCTTAATCGTTTTCATTTTGCTGGCTTAAATATATTTCAATCAGGTATGACTCAGGTAAACGTACAATGTGCTTTTAGGCAAAGCTATACAAATTCCAGGTTTGGTTGGGAGAGGGTAAAGATAAAAGGACACGTTATTAAAAGAATAATTTTCATTTCCATGTGCATTTTGCTCTTGCTTGCACAGGCACACTTCCCTGCTGGGCTTCACTATGAAAATCTTCGCTATGAAAATGGGATACAGGATATTTTGAATCCATAGACTAAGTCCATAAAGACTTGTTTCAGGAAGGAAAAAAAAAATAGCAC